CTTCTTTTTATCGTTTATTTGCCAATTTTGTAACGTTCTTTTTTGTCGCATTTTTTGTGGTGCTTCCTTTATTTTTACCATTTTTTTTGTGTCATTTTTATCAATTTTATTTGTCTTATTGGAGGCTTCTTGTATGTTTTTTCATCATTTTGTCACATTTTGTCCCTTATTGGCTATTTTTGTGACTTTTTGGTCGCATTCTTATTTCTACTTGTGGTCATTTTTGTCACATTTTTTCATTTTTTGTTTTTTAAGCTTATTCTCATCACTTTTTGTTGTGTTTTTTTTATTTCTTTTTTGCCTCCTTTTATTTGTTACTATATTTTTTGCCATTTTCAGTTTTTGATTTTTCAATTTTTCGATTTTTTAAATTTTCAAATTGCAATTTTTCGATTTTTTAGTTCTACAGTTTTGTAATTCGACTATATGATTATGCAATTTTTCGTTTTATTAATATTACAATTTTTCGATTTTTTAATTTTTGATTTTATCAATTTTTCGATCTGCAGTTTTTCTAGTTTCCAATTTTTCGGATTTTCTTGTTATATCATTGTTCGATTTTTTAAAATTTCGATCCTTATTTTGCAATTTTTAGATATTTTAATTTTTGATTTTCTCCATTTTTAGTCCTCCAATTTCTAATTTTTCGACTTTTCGGATTTTTGGTTACTCCACTTTTCGATTTTTCGCATTTTCTGATAATTCCAATTTTTGGATTTTTAATTTATCGATTTTTCAAATTTTTTAATTACCAATTCCATTTTCCAATTTTTTAGATTTTGTATCTTTTTTATAATTTTTGACATACACAGTTTTTTGTTATTTTAAGTCATCTATTTTATGGCGTTTTCGTGTCACCTTCTTTTTTGTTCTTTTTTTGGTATTTTATTTTTATGACAATTTTTTTTTTATTTTTACAGTTTTGTAGATCTTTTGTCTATGTTTCGATGTATAGTCAATCAATTTTTAGTTTTCTGATTTTCCAATTTTTCGATTTTTAAATCATCGTTTTTTTTTGGATTATCGATCGAATTTTAGAAACTTACTCTTTGATGTTTTTGACTTTTTTAATTTTCAGTTTTTTATTCTTTCGAAATGCAATTTCAATTTTCAAATAATTCCAATTTCCAAATAATTCAAATTTTGGATTTTTTAATTATTTGATCTTAACTTCACATTTTATTTTTACAGTTTTTATTTTAGTCGTGATTTTCATGTTTCGATTTTTCATCCCTCAGTTTTTGCTTTTTCGATGAAGATTGTTGAATTTTCCAATTTTATAATTTTACAATAATTGCAATTTTTGATCTTTCAGTTTCGATTTTCAATTTTTCTAGTCTTCAATTTATCATTTTCCAATTTCTCTTCTTTTTATTTAGTTTCCCGATTTCTAATTTTTCGACTTTTCGGATCCTTTAGTTCCTCCATTTTTCGATTTTTATTTTTTTTTACGTTTTGATTTTTTTAATATAGCGATTTTTAATCCCTCAATTTTTGGTTTTTCGAGCACGATTTTAAAATTTTCCGATTTTTGAATTGTACAACAATTATTGCAAGGTTTTTCAATTGTTTACTTTCCGATTTTCGATTTGCAATTTTTCTAGACTTCAATTTATCATTTTCCGATTCCTGGATATTTAATTTTTTGATTTTTTGGATTTTTTAATTACTTACTCCATTTTTCAATTTTTTAGATTTTCTATCATCTGTGCAATTTTTGATATCCACAATTTTTTGTGTCACGTTCTTTTTGCTCTTTTCTTTCGTATTTTTGATTTTTTTGTGTCAGACTTTTTGTGATCTTTATTCACTGTTTTCTCATTTTTATTCTCTTTTTTCCATTTATTTGCCATTTTTGTGGCGCCTTTTTTTATCGCATTTTTGTGGCCTAACTTTTTGTAAACTTTATTTCTTTTTTCCCGTTTCTTGATCCTATTTCATGTTGCATTTTTGTTTAAATTTTTGTGGCCACTTTTTTTTCGATTGCCCATCTTTATTTTTACAATTTTTGTTTTTATTTTTACAATTTTGGATAATTCATTTTTGATTTTGTCTATAGTTCGATGTTTAGTCTCTCAACTTTAGTTTTCTGATTTTTAAATTTTTAGATTTTTAAATTTTCGTCGAACTTTTTTTGTTATGTCATTTTCCGAATCGCAATTTTTCTAGTCCTCAATTTTTAATTCTTAGTTTCCCGATTTCTAATTTTTCGACTTTTCGGATCTTTAGTTACTCCGTTTTTTGAGTTTTTTTCTGTTTCTCCAATTTTTCGATCTGCAATTTTTTTAGTCTTCAATTTATAATTTTCAAACTTCCCGATTTTTAATTTTTCGATTTTTCGGATTTTTTAATTATTCCATTTTTCGGTTTATTAGGTTTTCTGTTTTACAATTTTTGACGTGCACAATTTTTTGATATTTAGAAACATATATTTGTTATGCCGTTTTCGTGTCACCTTCTTTTTTGTCCTGCTTCTTTTCGTATTTTCTTTTTTTGTCGTTTTTTTTTTCTACTTTACAATTTTTAATTTCTCGCTTTTTTGATTTTCGATCTTTATTTTTATATTTTTTTTTTCAGTTTTTGACAATTAATTTTTGATTTTGTCTATGTTACGATGTTTAGGGCCGGTTTATAGAACATCGAGTTAAATATTTAATCCTCGATTAGTTTAACAGAGAATTAAAATGTGGAATATGAGCCCGTGATTGGTTAAAATATGTGCGTTGCCTGGCAACGGACCTCAGTTAAAAGTTAATCGCGAATTAACTTTAACTTTGCTTTCTATAAATCGGGTCTAATTAGTCCCTCAATTTTTAATCTTTGTGATTGTTACAATTTTTAGATTTTTAAATTTTCGTGTTTTTTTTTGGATTATCAATAGAATCTTGGAACCTTAGTTTTTGATTTTTTTAAATTTCAGCTTTTTAAGTTTCCAAATTGCAATTTTTCGAATTTTTCACTCTACAGTTTTCTAATTCAACTGTACGTTTTTGCAATTTTTCGTTTTATGAATGTTAAAATTTTTCGATTTATTTTATTTTTGATTTTTTCAATTTTTCGATTTATAGTTTTTCTGGTTTTCAATTTTTCGGATTGTTTTGTTATGTCATTGTTAGTTTTTTTAGGATTTCGATCCTTCTTTTGCAACATTTTGGTATTTTAATTTTTTGATTTTTTCAATTTCTCGAATTGCAATTTTTCTAGTTCTAAATTTTTATTTTTTTAGTTTCTCGATTTCTAATTTTTCGACTTTTCGGATTTTTGAATTTTCCTATTTTATAATTTTACAATTATTGTGAGACTTTTCAATTTTTCGATTGCAATTTTTGTAACCTTCAGTTTATCATTTTACAATTTCTCAAATTTTAAATTTCCTTCTTATTCCATTTTCCTCGATGTTTTAGTTTTTCAATTTTTCAATTTCTCGGTTTTTTGATTTTCCAATTTTTCGATATTTCAGTTTTGGAATTTTTCGATTTCTCCATGATTTTTGAATTTTCCGATTTGTTAAATTTTGGATTTTTCGATTTTTTTGATTTTTCGTACTCCATTTTCGAATTTCTTTAAATTTTAAATTTTTAAATTTTTAACTTTACAATTCTTAGCTATATAGACCTCGATTTTTTGATTTTCCCATTTCTGGATTCTTCGAAATTTTGATATTTCAATTTCTCGATGTTTCAGTTTTGGCTTTTTCAATATTTTGATTCTTCAATTTTTCTCCGATTTTTTAGTTTTTCGATGTTTCAATTTTGTGATTTTTTCAATATTTCGATTCAACTTTTCAATTTTTCCATTTCACGATTTCCCGATTTTTTACTTTTTCGATTTTTAAATTTTGGATCTTTAAATTTTTCAATTTTTTGATGTTTGGATTTCTCGGTTCTTCAATTTTTTGGTGTTTTAATTTTTAAATTTTTTGGATTTTAAATTTTTTTACTTCTTGATTCTACGTTTTTTAAATTACATAAGTATTCGATTTTTCAGTTTCTCAAATTTTCGTACTCCCGATTCGATTTCTCAATGTTTTAGTTTTTCAATTTTTCAATTTCTTTTAGATTTTCTATCTTTTTTGCAATTTTTGACATACACAATTTTTTGATATTTTAGGTAATCTATGGCGTTTTCGTGTCACCTTCTTTTTGTCCTTTCTCTTTAGTATTTTTTTTTGTCCAACTTTTTTGTGATCTTTATTTCGTGTTTTCGCGTTTTTGGTCCATTTTTTACATTTATTTGCCATTTTTGTGTTTTTTTGTCACATTTTTTTGTAATATTTCTTTTATTATTGTCTTTTATCACCTTTTTGTGTCATTTTTATTCACTTTATTTATAGTTTGACTTGATCTGACCTGACCTGATTTGACTTATTAAATTTCAAACGCCAACCTTAAGACAAAAAAAAAAGTGTTCAAGAAGACGCTTGAAAACAAATATGAGAGTGAAAATAAACAACTTCGGTGTGCACCTTGAAACAAACCCCCCATCCCCCAAAAAACACACTCACTATTACTATTATTCTTCGTAAAGTCCGCCACTCTGCCTCTTCCGCCCCCACCAGCAAACAACAAGCGGGGGCGGCGCGTTTTAATCAAGCGCATTCGATAAATTCTTTTCTGGGACATTAAGCAGGCATTTCATTTGGTTGGTACGAATGGGATAAATGTACCGGCAACGTAAGAATTTCCATTTGGTGGACTAATGTGAGATCTTAACGCGGGATTGCGCGAATTAAACGATTGCGTGAACAGGGGGACGGAATGAATCAGGGTGACGGCTGACGTCACTGATGGCTTTCCGATTAGGCGACGGTTGGTAATCGTGACGACATCTAGGGGAAAAAAGTGGCGCGATGTAGCGAGATCTAGTGACAACGGAGCGAGGTTAGTGAGCGAGGCGCTAGGTGGCGCTGTACGAATTAATCAAACACAACTTGTATCAACTTACTATGTGTTATGAAGTATGAAGTGTCAAAAATAAAACCAGATGTGTCAAATTAAATCTAGATATGTATTTGTTTTTATTCTTTAAATGTCACACAATATCCGAGATACAAAAATATGTAAATACAATTACGTCATCACAAAATACAAAAGTAACCAAAAAAGGCAACTTTTACAATTTGGTATCAGCCTTCCAGTCAGTCTTATCAGTTGATAAATTATTTTAAATCGTATAATTAATTAAAAGTAACTAACTAACTAATCTTGCAACAACTTTATAAAACTAAATACCCTGGTACTCTAAATATTTCCTGTAGGCGCTGGACGCTAGACAACAACTCCCAAGGACTAACACCGTCAAAATGCAGACCCGATCTGCCAAACTGAACATCTGCCACAGCGATTTCTTGGTCTTAGTCTTGTATTTGGCCGCTGGGTCCTCGATGATGGTCTCGTACGTCACCCAAGCCGATTCGTCGTCCCATTGGTAGTCGTAATTGGCCTTCTTCCTCCGCTTCTTCTTGGGTTTGTCGGTTTTTCTCACCACGTTGGCGAAGGATGGCGATGGACGCTCCTGGGTTCGGCCCACCTTGTTGTCGTACTCGTCTGAAAGGACGTGGTTGGAGATGGGACTGGAAGTGCGGCGCTTACCCATCATTTCCTGGATGAGGAGGCCGTTTTTGTCGACGAATTCCCAGGTTTCTGGGTCCTTTTTTTCTGTGGTGCCGAAGTGTGTGGTGTTGAAGGTCAGCATGGCGAGGTTGGTCCAGATTCCAGATGGGACTGGGATGACGCCCCCACCCCCTACACGTTGTGTTGATTCCCAACGCGGATCGATAAATCGTGTACCAACTTAAATGGGCAGGGGTGGAAAATCCCCAGGTAGATGGTTTTTGTTTATTCGATTTCTTGGTTTTTAATTAAAGTTTTTCAAAAATTTTTTTTGTTTTTTCTTTTTTTAAATTCTACATTTTCGATTTTACTTTTTTTTTGATGTCTCGATTTCCCGATCTTTAATTTTTTTAATGATTAATTTTTCGATTTCTTGACATCTCGAGATTTCGTTTCTTAAATTTTTCCATTTTTCAGTTTTTCGACTTTTTGTAGCCTCGATTTACCGACATTTCCATTGTTCAATTTCCCAATTTTTCAACATTTTCATTTTGGAATTTTTCAATTTTTTTTAATTGATTTTTCAGTCTTTCGATTTTCAGCAATTTCGATTTCTCGGTTTTTGGATTTTCTAATTTATCGATTTTTCAGCTTTTCGAATGTTGAATTTTCCGATTTTCCAATATTTCGCTTTAAATTTTGGATTTTTCCATTTTTTAATTTTTGAATTTCTCAATTTTTTAATTCCTCAATTTTTCAATCTTTTAAGGTTTTTGATTTGTCAATTTTTTTATGTTTCATTTTTGGATTTTTCAATATTTCGATTTTCCAATTTTTCTTCAATTCCTCAATTTTTCGATATTTCAGTTTTGGGATTTTTTCAACATTCGATTGGTCAAATTTTCAATTTATCCACTTTTTTACTTTTTCGATTTTCAACTTTTAGATTTTTAAATATTTCAATTTTTTGATGTTTCGATTTCTCGGTTCTTCAGTTTTTTGATACTTTAATTTTTCAATTTTTTGTATTTCAAATTTTTTGGTTTTGCTTTATATTTTTCGGCTTTTAAATTGTTCAATTTTTCAGTTTTTCAAATTTTCGTACTCCCGAATTTTATGATTTTGGGCTATTTTTCATAATTTTCAATTTTTTGATGTTTCAATTTTTCGATTTTTTAAATTTTGAATTTTTCGATTTCTCGTTTCTTTTTCCAGTCTCGAATTTTTAATTTTTCGATTTTTCAATGTTTCAATTTTTGACATTTCTAAATTTTCGATTTCTCAATTTCTCGGTTAATCGATTTTTTGATTTCTCGTTTCTGAATTTCTCCACATTTCAATATTTTAATTTCTCGATTTTTCAATTCTTCAATTTTTCGATTTTTTAGGTTATTGATTTTTTAATTTTTCGATGTTTCAGTTTTGGATTTTTCAATATTTCGATTCTTCAATTTTTCTTCGAATTTACAATTTTTTTGATTTTTAAATTTTAGAATTTTCGACGTTTCGATTTCTCGGTTCTTCAACTTTTTTTATTTTAATTTTTCAACTTTTTGAATTATAGATTTTTCGATTTCTCGATTTCTCAGTCAATATTTCAATTTTTGAAATTTTTGAATATTTCACTTTAAATTTTGAATTTTTCGATTTTTTAATTTTTGGACTTTTCGATTTTTTTTTATCCATTTGTGGATTTGATATTTCAATTTTTCGATCTTTTAGGTTATTGATTTAAATGTCAATTTTTTGATGTTTCAGTTTTCGATTTTTGCATATTTCGATTGTTCAATTTTTCTTCGATTTCTCAGTTTTTCGACATTTCAGTTTTGGATTTTTCCACTTTTCGAATTCCCGATTTTTGAATTTTTCGATTTTTAACTTTGAAATTTTTAAATTTTTTGATGTTTCAATTTCCCAATTCTTCAGTTTTTGATATTTTAGGTGTTAGATTCTTCGGTTTTTAAATTGTTCCATTTCTTAGTTTTTCGAATTTTCGTGCTCCCGATTTACCGAGATCGATGTTCCGATTTTTCAGTTTTATGATTTTTTTGAATTTTAAATTTCCGATTTTGGGCTATTTTTCGATTTCTCGATGTTTTAGTTTTTCAATTTTTCGATTCTTTAAATTTTGAATTCTTCGATTTTTCAATGTTTCAATTTTTGACGTTTCTAAATTTTCGATTTTTTTTCTGGATTTCTCAACATTTCAATATTTCAGTTTCTCGATTTTTCGGTTTCTCAATTCGTCAGTTTTTCGATTTTTAAAGTTATTGATTTTTCAATTTTTCTTCGATTTTGAATTTTTCGATTTTTAAATTTCAGATTTTTCAATTTTTTGACGTTTCGATTTCTCGTATCTTCAAATTTGTCACACTTTAATTTTTCAATTTTTTGAATTATAATAGATTTTTCGATTTCTCGATTTCTGGGTTCTTTAATATTTCAGTTTTTCAAATTTTTGAATTTCAGAATTTTCGATTTCCCAGTTCTTCCATATATTCCACTTTTTAAAATTTTCTCTTGATTTACTTAGAATTCCATTTTTCAATTTCTGGATTAGTCGATTTTTTATTTTTCAACTTTTCGATTGTTTAATTTTTCTGTCTAGCTTTTTTAAGTTTTCAATTTTTTTAAATTCTACATTTTTCGATTTACGACTTTTTCATATTTCCGTTTCCCGATTTTAAATTTTTTTTAAATTTAGTTTTTCGATTTTTTGAATTTTCGATTTCTTAAGTTTTTAATTTTTCGATTTTTCATTTTTTCATACTCTCAATTTATTGAGGTTTCGATTGTTCAGGATCTTTTGATATTTCAATTTCTCGGATTTTAAATTTTCCAATTTTCCGAAGTTTCGAATTTTCAATTTTTCGAATCCCCAATTTTCCATTTTTTAATTTTTGGATTCGATTTAAAATTTTTAATAATTATTTTTTCGATGATTTCTTTTTTAAAATTTTACCATTTTCCAGTTTTTCGATTCTTCATCCTCTCGACTTACCTAAAATTCCATTGTTCAATTTCCCGACTTATCCATGTTTTCTCCAATTTTTTAACATTATTTTGAGTTTGGAATTTTTCAGTTTTCAGATTTTTCAACTGTTTGATTTTTTAAAATTTAAAATTTAAAATTTTTCAATTTTTAATTTTTCGTTATTTCGATTTTCCACTACATATTTCAATTTCTCAGTTTTTTGGCTTTTCGATTTTTCAGTTTTTCGATTCTTGAATTTTCCGATTTTCCAATTTTTCGATTTTTTAAATTTAGGCTTTTTCAATTTTTTTATTTTTTTGAACTCAATTTACTCAAATTTTTAAATTATAAATTTTTCAATTTTTCGACTTCTCGATTTTTGATGTTTCGATTTCTGAATGTTTTAGTTTTTCAATTTTTTTATTTTTCAATTTTTCGACATTTAATTTTGGAATTTTTGAATTCCTTGATTTTTGAATTACTTCAATTTTTTGATTTTTGGACGGTTCGATTTTCCGAGATTCCGATTGTTCAATTTTTCGATTTATCGATGTATTTCCCAATTTTTCAACATTATTTTCAGTGTGGAATTTTTCAGCTCTCCGATTTTTCGATTTTTTATTAATTTTTCAGTCTTTTGATTTTTTAATTTTTGGATTTTTTTAAGTTTTCGAATTTTTTAATTTCTCGATTTTTCAATATAAAAATTTCAATTTCGGAAATTTTCCAATATTTCTGTTTATTAAATTTTCGATTTTTTTAAATTTTTGATTTTTCGACTTTTAAATTTTCTAACTTTTCGATATTTCAATTTTCAGCTATTTCGATTTCTCGGTTTTTGGGCTTTTCGATTCTTGAATTTACGATTCTCCAATTTTTCGATTTTTTGAATTTACGATTTTTGATTTTTTTAATTTTTTGTACTCGATTTACCAAAATTTTGTCGGCGACGTTTCGATTTTCCGTTTGTTCAATTTTCTCGATTTTTCAATTTCCTTTAATTTAAAATTTTTCGATTCTTGAATTTTCCGATTTTCCAATTTTTCCTGCAATTTGGACTTTTCAATTTTCCGATTTTTCAGCTTCTCGATCCCTTGATGTTTCAATGTCTCGATGTTTTGGTCCAATTTTTCAACATTTCAGTAATGGAATTTTTCAATTTTTTGATTTTTTTATTAATTTTTCAGTCATGAATTTTAAAATTTTTTGACTTTTCGATTTTTAGATTTCTGGATTTTTCAATTTCAACATTTCATTTTTGGGAATTTTTCCAATTTTTCTATTTATTAAATTTTCGATTGCTCGACCTTCCGATTTTTCGGTTTTTCAATTTTTCGATGTTTATAAATATGTTGATAAATTTTTTAACTTTTCGATTTTTTTTTATTTTAAATTTTCGATTTTGAGCTATTTCTCTATTTCTCGATCATTTGATGTTCAACTTCTCAATGTTTTAGATTTTCAATTGTCCGATTTTTCGTGTTTTTTGTTAATTTTTCAGTCTAGATTTTTTAACTTTTCAATTTTTTTCAAATTATACATTTCTTTCAATTTACGATTTTTTGATATTTCTATTTCCCGATTTTAAAATTTTTTAAAATTTAGTTTTTCGATTTTTCAATTTTTCGTACTCTCGATTTACCGAGATTTCGATTGTTCAATTTCCCAAGTTTATTACATTTTTTTTTTTTTTTCGACTTCCGTATCTTTTGATGTTTTGATTTCTCGGATTTTCAATTTTCCAATTTTTCGAATTTTCAATTTTGCGACATTTCAATTTTGGAATTTGTCAATTTTTCGAATCCTCGAAATTTTCAAATTTTTAATTTTTCGATTTTTTGATTCGATTTAAAATTTTTAATAATTAATTTTTTGATAATTTCTTCCTTAAAATTTTTCTATAGTTCAATTTCCCGATTTATCCATGTTTTTTCCAATTTTTCTACATTATTTTGAGTTTGGAATTTTTCAGTTATCCGATTTTTCAATTTTTCGATTTTTTTATTAATTTTTCAGTCTTTTGATTTTTTAAATTTTAAATTTTTCGATTTTTTGACTTCTCGATCTTTTGATGTTTTTTGTTCAATGTTTCGGTTTTTCAATTTTTTGATTTTCCAATTTCTCGATCTTTCAGTTTTTTGATTCTTCAATTTTTTGATTTTTTGATCTTTACATTTTTTAATGATTAATTTTTTAATTCCCTGACATCTCGAGATTTTTCGTACTCTTGATTTACCGAGAGTTCGATTGTTCAATTTCCCGATTTATCGATGTATTTCCCCATTTTTCAATATTATTTTCAGTCTGGAATTTTTCAGCTTTCCGATTTTTGCATTTTTGAAATTTTTCGAATTTTTCAGTTTTTCAATTTTTCGATGTTTAAAATTTTTGATTTTTCGACTTTTAAATTTTTTAACTTTTCGAAATTTCGATTTTCAGCTATTTCGATTCCTCGGTTTTTTGGCTTTTCGATTTTCTAATTCAATGATTTTTTCGTTTTTGGATTCTTGAATTTACGATTCTCCAATTTTTCGAATTTACGATTTTTGATTTTTTTAATTTTTTGTACGATTTACCAAAATTTTGTCGGCGACGTTTCGATTTTCCGATTGTTCAATTTCCTTTAATTTAAAATTTTTCGATGTTTAATTTTTCAATTTTTCGATTTTTTAAATTTTGGATTTTTTCATTTATTAATTTTTCGTATTCGATTTACCAAAATTGCATTTGGATTTTCCGACTGTTCTATTTCCCGATTTTTCAATTTCTTTAAATTTGAAAGTTTTCAATTTTTAACTTTTCGATTTTGAGCTGTTTGAACTTGGATTTCTCAATTTTTTGATTTTTCAACTTGTCGATCTTTTAGTTTTTCTATTTCCTGATTTAGCAATTTTTCGACATTTAAGTTTTTGGATTTTTCAATTCCTCAATTTTTCAGTTTTTGGATTCTCGAATTTTTTGATATTTCGATTTCTCGGTTTTTAATTTTTTTAATTTTTAATGTAAGTTTTTCAAATTTTCGGACTCTCAATTTACCGAGATCAGATATGTTCGGAATTTGTAAATTTTTCGTTTTTTTTTAATAATTTTTCGGTTTATCAATTTTCCGATGTTTAAAATTTTTGATTTTTCGAGTTTTAATTTTTTTTCATTTTTCAATTTATCAATATTTTTAAACTTTAAAATTTTCTATTTTTAACTTTTTCGATACTTCGATTTTCAGCAATTTTTTCAATTTTCCAGTTTTTCAACTTCTTGATCTTTTGATGTTTCAATTTTTCGACATTTCAGTTTTGGAAATTTTAAAATTTTTGATTTTTTTTTATTAATTTTTCAGTCATAATTTTTAAAATTTTTTGACTTCGAGAATCCTGGATTTTTCAATTTCAGCATGTCACTTTTGGGAATTTTCCAATTTTTCTATTTATTACATTTTCGACTGCTCGACCTTCCGATTTTTCGATGTTTCAAATTTTTGATTTTTCGACTTTTAAATTTTTTAGCTTTTCGAAATTTCGATTTTCAGCCTATTTCGATTCCTCGCTTTTCGATTTTCTAAATTATCGATTTTTTTGTTTTTCGATTCTTGAATTTACGATTCTCCAATTTTTCGAATTTAGGATTTTTGATTTTTTTTCATTTTTCTGGATTTTTCAATTTCCTATAATTTAAAATTTTTCGATGTTTAATTTTTCAATTTTTCGATTTCACGGTTTTTTGATTTCCCAATTTTTCGACAGTTTAGTTTTCGAATTTTTCAATTTCTCGTTTTTTTGAATTTTGGATTTTTTTATTTATTAATTTTTCTTATTCGATTTAGCAAAATTACGACATTTGGATTTTCCGACTGTTCTATTTCCCGATTTTCAATTTCTTTGGATTTCTCAATTTTTTGATTTTTCAACTTCTCGAACTTTTAGTTTTTCAATTTTCTGATTTCTGGGGTTTTTGATTTCGCAATTTTTCGACACTTAAAGTTTTTGGAATTTTCAATTTCTCAATTTTTCAGTTCTTCGATTCTTGAATTTTCCGATTTTCCAATTTTTTCGATTTTTTGAGCTATTTGGACTCCTCAATTTTCCGATTTTTCAACTTCTCGATCTTTGGAATTATTCAATTTTTGCTTTTTTTTGTTAAATTTTCAGCCATGATTTTTAAAATTTTTTGACTTTTCGATTTTTATATTTCTCGATTTTTCAATTTCAACATTTCAGATTTGGGAATTTTCCAATTTTTCCATTTATTAAATTTTCGATTACTCGACCTTCCGATTTTTAAATGTTTAAAATTTTTGATTTTTCGACTTATAAATTTTTTAACTTTTTTTTTCGTTTGTCGATTCTTGAATTTACGATTCTCCAATTTTTCGATTTTATGAATTCATGATTTTTGATTTTCTTAATTTTTTGTCGGCGACGCGACGTTTTGATTTTCCGATTGTTCAATTTTCTTTAATTTAAAATTTTTCGATGCTTAATTTTTTTGGATTTTTCAATTTTTCAATTTTTCGATTTTCCAATTTTTCGAGATATTTGGACTTTTCAGTTTCCCGATTTTTCAACTTCTCGATCTTTTTTGATGTTTCAATGTCTCGATATTTTAGTCCAATTTCAATTTTGGAATTTTTCAGTTTCCCGATTTTTCAATTTTTTTATTTTTTTATTATTTTGTCAGTCATGATTTTTTAAATTTTTTGACTTTTCAATTTTTAAATTTCTGGATTTTTCAATTTCAACATTCCACTTTTGGGAATTTTTCAAATTTTTGATTTGATCGTGATCAGAAATGATTAAGTGTGTTGGCAGTACTTTTTAAACAAAAATGTAAACTTTTCTTGTGTTTATGTTGGCATAACGGTGTCCTTCTATGACAGATAATGTGTCAGTCGTGACATGCAATAAATTTAGGTTATGTTTTGGATATATTTATCAAATTAAAAACGTCAACAATCTGTCAATCTTGACAGCTGAGAACCGGTAATTATAGTTAAATTAAAAATGCAGGATTGCCAACATACTCAGTAATCCGTAAAATCCTATTTTAATGTCAATCAAAGAAACTGGATTCGATTGACTGTGCTTCAAGGGCGAGGGAAGTTCTGTTGAAATAACTTCACACCAATTTTTTTATTCACAGCTACTTTTTCGGCAAAATTAAATTTGTTCATATAGCTATAGTCCATGGTTTCTAGATAGCAATAAATAATTTGATTAATTAATACATATATACAAAAACCAAACATTTATTGTTAACAATTTGTTTTAATAATAATTATTTAAATCTAAAATAAACACATAAACCCATAAAAAATCAAGGTAATTCCATGTAGGTATTTCTTCGAACTTTTCAATCGTAATAATATAACACCCATAAAAGTCAAGAAAAGCGAAAACCTGCCCCAAACCACCCTCAAATTTCACCCCCTACTCCATCAAAATCTCCTCGATCGTTTTATCATCCCTCAACGGACTCTGCGTCAGCGCCGGCTCGCTCTCCAAGAACTGCCTCAACTCGCTCTCCAAATCCGCCACCTCGTTACTGACCTCCACCTCCGGCATCGCCACCCCCAGCGCCTTCCTGATCCCCGCCACCGGCGCCACGTCCCCCGGATGCACCCTCTTCGCCATCTCCGTCAGATTCTCGCTAATATTCTCCGCCACCTGCATCTCCTCCTCCGACGGCGGCACCACCTGACTCAGGTGCACCGGGGGCGGCTGCGACAGCCGCGAGTGCTGCGACTGCTGCAGCTTCTGCAGCAACTGGCACATGCTGTCCAACCGCTGCTGCAGCTCGTGCCGCTCCTCCGAGATCTTGATCTCCTCCTCCATGTTGTCCAGGAAGTTAATGTCGATCCCCAGGTCCTGCAGACTGCGCAGCTCGTCCACGTCCACCTTGACGGCGTCGATCGGCTTCACCTCCATCATGGTCTTCACCGCCTCCTCCTCCTCGCGCAGGCGCTTGTTCTCGTCGAGGGCGCGCTTGGTCTTGCTGTGGTCGCCGCCGGTGAGCAGGTCGAGCAGGCTGTCCACCAGGTGGCTGGCGTAGTCGCTGTCCTTGACGAAGTCGAGCACGCTCTCGGCGTACTGGACGGCGGTGTCGGAGCCGTAGGTCTGGTAGACGAGGTCGCTTTCTTCTTTGCTGAGGTTGGAGAAGGCCGAGTCGTAGCTGGGGGCGTAGGAGCCGAAGGCGCCGTAGTAGAGGGGCTTGACGGGCTTGGTGATGTTGCGCCGGTCCTCGCGGAAGCCTTGGATCTGGCCGGTGCCTTCGGCGAGTTTGCCGCAGAGTTGGCCGAGGAGGACGGGGCGCTTTTTGGTTCCGGGGATGACGCCCTCGCCGCCGACGAGGATGTTGATGTTGGTGGTGCCGTCTTTGCGCTGCTTGAGGAAGCCCATGCTGGGGCCGCCCCCGCGGGCTACTGCAAAAATGGACTTAGATGTAGTCGGGTTGACAGATAATTAACATTTGACGTGATGGTAAAGAGTTTCTTAGTGTTTTAACAAAGAGATATTAGTTGTTCAAAAATTAAAAAACCACTATTTTTGTTATGAAATTTCAAATTTAAAGTTTTTTTGTAGTACCAACTTGTCAATGTAAAAATAAACCATAGAGGAGTTTTATTTGGTACCAATTTAATTTTTGAATAAATAGTAGGTAAGTGATGTTTTCAGGAAACGTAAGTGACATAAAAGTGATTCTTATAATGATCATTATGATTCTGATTACTTCTATTATTATCATTTTTTTTTCAAAAGTAACTGTCAAAATAAAACACTTTTCGCTTGCTCTTTTAAAGTTTTTCAAAGTCACTAAGATGGCGTTCCTTATGTTCACAAGAAGTTTTATTTCATTGAAGGGAATGTTTTCTAACTTAAAATTATTTTGTTGTTAAATGTCATTTTCAATAACCGTCAGTTTTTGACGTTTCAAACTACTTCAAAAATTAGACACAAGAGGTTGCCGAGATATCTTCAAACTAGTTCAAAAACTAGACACACGAAGTCCCCCAGATTTTTTCAAACTACTTCAAAAATAAAACGAAAGGGATCCCCGAGATTCTTTAAAACTACTTCAAAAACCAGACACAAGAGGTCCCCAAGATTCCTCTAAACTTTTTCAAAAATCAGACACAAGAAATCCCCAAGATTCTTTCAAACTACGAGTACTTCAAAAACCAGACAGAAAAGAGATCTCGAAATTTTTTTCAAACTTCTTCAAAAATCAAAGACAAAAGATCCCAAGATTCTTTCAAACTACTTCAAAAACATAAGGAGATTGTCTTAAAGTACTTCAAAAACCAGACACAAGGATTTCTCAAGATTCTTGCAAACTATTTCAAAAACCAGACAGACAAGTGGTTCCCGAGATTTTTTTCAAACTACTTCAAAAATCGGACATAAGAGGTCTCCGAGATTCTTTCAAAATACTTCAAAAACCAAACACAAAAAGTCTACAAAATACTTTCAAACTACTTCAAAAATAAAGCAAAAGGGATCCTCAAGATTCTTTCGAACTACTTCAAAAACAAAACAAAAGGAATCCTCGAGATTCTTTTAAAGTACTTCAAAAACCAGACACAAGGGTTTCTCAAGATTCTTGCAAACTACTTCAAAAACCAGGCAGAACAGAGGTTCCCGAGATTTTTTTCAAACTATGTACTTTAAAATCAGGTAAAAGAGGTCCCCGAGATTCTTTCAAAATACTTCAAAAACCAGACACAAAGGGTCTTCAAGATTTTTGGAAACACCTCAAAAACCAGACCGAAAAGAGGTCTCCGAGATTTTTTCAAAATACTTCAAAAACCAGACACAAAAAGTCGACAAGATTTTTTCAAACTACTTCAAAAACCAGGTAGAAAAGAGGTCCCGAAATTTTTTTCAAACTTCTTCAAAAATCAAAGACAAAAGATCCCCAAGGTTCTTTCATACTACTTCAAAAACAAAACAAAAGGAAATCTAGAGATTTTTTTAAAGTACTTCAAAAACCAGAGACAAGGGTTTCTCAAGATTCTTGCAAACTACTTCGAAAACCAGACAGAACAGAGGTCCCCCAGATTTTTTCCAAACTACTTCAAAAATCAGACAAAAGAGGTCCCCGAGATTCTTTGAAAATACTTCAAAAACCAGAAGACACAAAGGATTTCAAGATTTTTGGAAACTACTTCAAAAACTTGACAGAAAAGAGGTCCCCAAAATTCTTTCAAACTTCTTCAAAAATCAGACACAAGAAGTCCCCAAGATTCTTTCAAACTACTTCAAAAACCAGACAGAAAAGAGGTCCTCAAGATTTTTGTCAAACTTCTTCAAAAATCAGAGAAAAGATCCCCAAGATTCTTTCAAACTACTTCAAAAACAAAACAAAAGGGATTCTCGAGATTCTTTCAAACCACTTCAAAAACCAGACAACAGGGAATTCCGAGATTTTTTCAATCTATTTCAAAAACCACACACAAGAGGTCCCTAAGATTCTTTCAAACTATTTCAAAAACAAAACAAAGAAGATCCCCGTGATTCTTTCAAACTACTTTAAAAACCAGATTCAAGATGTTCCCGAGATTTTTTTCAAACTACTTCAAAGAGCACACAAGGGATCTCTAAGATTCATTCAAACTACTTCGAAAACCAGACAACGGGGAATCCTAAGATTCTTTCAATCTATTTCAAAAAACAAGACAGAAAGACGAGATTTTTTTCAAATTATTTCAAAAATTAAGATACAAGAGATCCTCAAAATTCTTTCAAACGACTTCAAAAGCAAAACAAAAGGAATCCCCGAGATTCGTTCAGGCTACTTCAAAAACCAGATACAAGGGATCCTCGAGATTCTTTTAAATTACTTCAAAAACCAGACAGAAGCGGTCCCCGAGATTCTTTCAAACTACTCCAAAAACCAGACACAAGAGGCCTCTGAGATTTTTTTGTAAACTACTTCAAAGAGCAGACCTCGGGGATCCCGAGATTCTTTCAAACTACTTCAAATACCAGACACAAGAGGCCCCCGAGATTCTTTCAATTTACTTCAAAAACCAGACACAAAAGGTCCCCGAGATTTTTTTCAAACTACTTCAAAAATCAGACACAAGAGGCCACCGCGATTCTTTCAAAATACTTCAAAAACCAGACACAAAGGGTTTCAAGATTTTTGGAAACTACTTCAAAAACTTGACAGAAAAAAGGTTCCTTCGTTTTTTTCAAACTTATTCAAAAATCAGATACAAGAGGTCCCCAAAATTCTTTCAAACTTCTTCAAAAATCAGACACAAGAAGTCCCCAAGATTATTTCAAACTACCAGAAGACACAAAGGGTTTCAAGATTTTTGGAAACTACTTCAAAAACTTAACAGAAAAGAGGTCCCCAAAATTCTTTCAAACTTCTTCAAAAATCAGACACAAGAAGTCCCCAAGATTCTTTCAAACTACTTCAAAAACCAGACAGAAAAGAGGTCCTCGAGATTTTTTTCAAACTACTTCAAAAATCAGACACAAGAGGCCACCGCGATTCTTTCAAAATACTTCAAAAACCAGACACAAAGGGTTTCAAGATTTTTGGAAACTACTTCAAAAACTTGACAGAAAAGAGGTCCCTTAGTTTTTTTCAAACTTATTCAAAAATAAGACACAAGAGGTCCCCAAAATTCTTTCAAACTTCTTCAAAAATCAGACACAAGAAGTCCCCAAGATTCTTGAAAATTATTTCAAAAACCAGGCAGAACAGAGGTCCGCAGATTTTTTTCAAACTACTTCAAAAATCAGACACAAGAGGTCCCCAAGATTCTTTCAAACTATGTCAAAAACAAAACAAAGAAGATCCCCGTGATTCTTTCAAACTACTTTAAAAACCAGATTCAAGATGTTCCCGAGATTTTTTTCAAACTACTTCAAAGAGCACACAAGGGATCTCTAAGAGTCATTCAAACTACTTCAAAAACCAGACAACGGGGAATCCTAAGATTCTTTCAATCTACTTCAAAAAACAAGACAGAAAGACGAGATTTTTTTCAAATTATTTCAAAAATTAAGATACCAGAGATCCTCAAAATTCTTTCAAACGACTTCAAAAGCAAAACAAAAGGAATCCCCGAGATTCTTTCAAGCTACTTCAAAAACTAGATACAAGGGAACCTCGAGATTCTTTCAAATTACTTCAAAAACCAGATAGAAAAGGTCCCCGAGATTCTTTCAAACTACTTCAAAACCCAGACAGAAGAGGTCCCCGAGATTTTTTTAACTACTTCAAAAACCAGACACAAGGGTCACATGATTCTTTCAAACTACTTCAAAAACCAGACACAAAAGATTTTTTTCAAATTATTTCAAAAATTAGATATAAGAGATCCCCAAAATTCTTTCAAACTACTTCAAACACTAGACACAAGGGACCCACAGATTCCTCAAAGCTACTTTAAAAACCAGACACAAGAGATCCTCGACATTCTTGCAAATTACTTAAAAAACCAGACAGAAGGAATGCCCGAAATTTTTTTAAACTACTTCAAAAACCAGACAACAGAGGTTCCCGAGATTTTTTCAAACTATGTACTTCAAAAATCAGACAACCAGGGATCCCCAGATTCTTTCAAACTACTTCAAAAACCAGACACAAGAGGCCTCTGAGAATTTTTTTGTAAACTACTTCAAAGAGCAGACCTCAGGAATCCCGAGATTCATTCAAACTACTTCAAAAACCAGACACAAGAGGCCCCCGAGATTCTTTCAATTTACTTCAAAAACCAGACACAAAAGTCTTCGAGATTTTTTTCAAACTTCTTCAAAAATTAGCCACAAGGGGTTCGTAAGATTCTTTCAAAATACTTCAGAAACAAAACAAAGGGGATCCATGTGAATCTCTCAACCTACATTAGAAACCAAACACAAGAGATCCCCGAGATTTTTTTCAAACTACTTTAAAAAGCAGAAACCAGGGATCCTCGAGATTCATTCAAACTACTTCAAAAACCAGACACAAGGGATCCTGGAGATTCTTTCAAATTACTTCAAAACCAAATAGAAGAGGTCCCCGAGATTCTTTCAAACTACATACTTCAAAAACCTTATAGAAAAGAAGTCCTCGAAACTTTTTTTGAACTACTTCAAAAACCAGACACAAGAGGTCCATGAGATGTTTTCAAACTATGTATTTCAAAAATCAGACAGAAAAGAGAGATTTTTTTTTCAAACTATGTACTTCAAAAATCAGACACCAGAAATCCTGAGACTCTTTCAAACTACTTCAAAAACTGGACAATCCTCGAAATTTTTTTCAAACTACTTCAAAAATTAGACACATAAGATCCCCGAGATCTTTTTTTTTAACTTCTTAAAAATTGGACGCAAGCGATCCCCGAGATTCTTTCAAACTATTTCAAAAACAAAACAAAAAAAACCGAACCCCGATTTAACCTAAATTTTTCCCGCGCTGGTTCATCAAGTCCCATCGACCTTGGAAACAATAGTATGACGTCATTTTCAAAATTTATGATAGTAAAGACTATTCAAATTGTCTTAAATAACTCTTGTACTAGTGGTTTATGAATCCGTGTTGAGTTTTTACCCAAAACAGCCAAGCTTTTAGTGAAAAAAAAAAAAAGAAAAAAATTGTATAACGACATCTACCATTTAACTTTGAAACTGCAAAGTTTTAATAAATTTAAACCAATTTTTTAGATAAAACCTGAACGTGCTCGCTGCGCTCGCATTCTAACCGTTCTAATAATGTTCTCAAGAATAAAAAAACATATCCTTAAAATACGAGCGGGCGCAGCGAGCAGGTTCAAGTTGGCCAGAGTTTCCCCAACTTTAGTAATTACAATTATTTTTAAGATACATTTTTTTGCAGACGATAAATAATTTTGTTTGTTAACAATTTAGCTTCTCAGGGACACCAATAAATAATTTTTTGAATTACACCTGAACGTGCTCGCTGCGCTCGCATTCTGACCGTTCTTTTTTTGGCAATTTAGTGTCATAGAAGTGATTAAGAAACAAACCCCTTGAATGCGAGCGCAGCGAGCATCTTCAGGTTGCTGGAGCCTCTGCAATTTTAGTATTTGCAAACATTTTCAAGATTCAGTTATTTAGACACCAAAAAATTATTAATAATAATTTAGCTTCCCAGGGACAACGTGCTCGCTGCGCTCGCATTCTAACCGTTCTTTTTTTTGCAATTTAGTGTCATAGAAGTGATTAAGATAATCACAAACACTTAGGATTCACTATTTTTAGGCAACAAAAAATATCTTATTAATAATTTCGCTTCTCAAGGACACTGACCAGTATTTTTTAATAACAGCTAAACGCGCTCGCATTCTTAATGTTCTTTTTTAAAATAATGCGGTCTTATAAGAACATTTATGAATCCTTCTGAAACCGCTCTGAGTGTGAAGGACGTACTGCATAAATTCTTTAGACCGATTTTTTAATTCTTAAAAACCCATATTAGTGAAAATAAAACTGAAAATCTAAAGCCCCAATTTTTGTTGTTGTTGTATGAAAATGAAAAGCAACTAAAACACGGCCCTGGAACCATCAAGCCAACTTACTTAGTTTGACCCTAGCCTCCCTAGCTGCAATTTGCGACTTGCTGAGTATTTCTTCAGGCGTCAAGTCGTCCTGTATGGGCTCAAACTTAGACGCAGGCATCCTCTTTTTGCCCTCATTTAGATGATCACTGTCATCGTGGTCCTCGTGCCCCCCTTTATTCTGGCGCAACTCTGGCGTTATCTCAAAACCCATATCTTCACTGGTTAACTCAGGAAGAAGATTCAAAACCCATCCCAATTTCTCTGGCTGCATCAACTTACTACCGGCATGCAAAAGCTTCTTACTTGCTTTGTAGTAAATCGTGTCCACGTGGTTGTACTTCATGGCGTTCGTGCACATCAGCTTGAAGTCGGCGACGAAATCCTGAGAAAATTAATGAATTTGTATTATTAAAAAAATAAAAAACAAGAAATGCGGCTTATTTGAAAAATGATAAAATTTGATTTTGCCAAATTTTTCTTTTTTGTGATGACGACGAAGATAATTGGAGCCCCCGAGAAGGTTTCACATTGTTTAAAAAAAACGATTGGAGTCCCCGAGAAGGTTTCACCTGTTAAAAAAATACAGTTGGGACTTCTGAGAAGGTTTTACATTGTTAAAAAAAACGATTGGAGACCCCGAGAAGGTTTCACATTGTTTAAAAAAAAACGATTGGAGTCCCAAGAGAAGGTTTCACCTCTTAAAAAAAATACAGTTGGGACTTCTGAGAAGATTTCACATTGTTAAAAAAAAAACGATTGGTGCCCCGGAAAAGGTTTCACATTCTTAAAAACTTAGAAAACGATTGGGACTCCTGAGAAGGTTTTACATTGTTAAAAAAACGATTGGAGCCCCCGAGAAGGTTTCACATTGTTAAAAAAAAACGATTGGAGCCCCCGAGAAGGTTTCACATTGTTAAAAACTTAGAAAACGATTGGGACTCCTGAGAAGGTTTTACATTGTTAAAAAAAGAACCCACTGGAGCCCCCGAGAAGGTTTTATATTGTTAAAAGAAAACGATTGAGACTCCTGAGAAGGTTTTATATTGTTAAAAGAAAACGATTGAGACTCCTGAGAAGGTTTCACATTGTTAAAAACTTAGAAAACGATTGGGACTCCTGAGAAGGTTTTACATTGTTAAAAATAACCGATTAGAGTCCCCGAGATGGTTTTACATTGTTAAAAAAAACCGATTGGAGCCCCCGAGAAGGTTTTATATTGTTAAAAACTTAGAAAACGATTGGGACTCCTGAGAAGGTTTTACTTTGTTAAAAATAACCGATTGGAGTCCCCGAGAAGGTTTCACATTGTTAAAAGAAAACGATTGGGACTCCTGAGAAGGTTTCATATTGTTAAAAACTTAGAAAACGATTGGGACTCCTGAGAAGGTTTTACATTGTTAAAAAAAAAACGATTGGAGCCCTCGAGAAGGTTTTACATTGTTAAAAAAAACCGAGTGGAGTCCCCGAGAAGGTTTCACATTGTTAAAAGAAAACGATTGGGACTCCTGAGAAGGTTTCACATTGTTAAAAACTTAGAGAAAGATTGGGACTCCTGAGAAGGTTTTACATTGTTAAAAAAAACGATTGGAGCCCCCGAGAAGGTTTTACATTGTTAAAAAAAAAACCGATTGGAGTCTCCGAGAAGGTTTCACATTGTTAAAAGAAAACGATCGAAGCCCCCGAGAAGGTTTCACATTGTTAAAAGAAAACGATTGGGACTCCTGAGAAGGTTTTACATTGTTAAAAATAACCGATTGGAGTCCCCGAGAAGGTTTTACATTGTTAAAAAAACCGAGTGGAGTCCCCGAGAAGGTTTCACATTGTTAAAAGAAAACGATTGAGACTCCTGAGAAGGTTTCACATTGTTAAAAACTTAGAGAAAGATTGGGACTCCTGAGAAGGTTTTACATTGTTAAAAAAACGATTGGAGCCCCCGAGAAGGTTTTACATTGTTAAAAAAAAACCGATTGGAGTCTCCGAGAAGGTTTCACATTGTAAAAAGAAAACGATTGGGACCCCTGAGAAGGTTTCATATTGTTAAAAACAAAAAACGATCGAAGCCCCCGAGAAGGTTTCACATTGTTAAAAACTTAGAAAACGATTGGGACTCCTGAGAAGGTTTTACTTTGTTAAAAATAACCGATTGGAGTCCCCGAGAAGGTTTCACATTGTTAAAAGAAAACGATTGGGACTCCTGAGAAGGTTTCATATTGTTAAAAACTTAGAAAACGATTGGGACTCCTGAGAAGGTTTTACATTGTTAAAAAAAAAAACGATTGGAGCCCTCGAGAAGGTTTTACATTGTTAAAAAAAACCGAGTGGAGTCCCCGAGAAGGTTTCACATTGTTAAAAGAAAACGATTGGGACTCCTGAGAAGGTTTCACATTGTTAAAAACTTAGAGAAAGATTGGGACTCCTGAGAAGGTTTTACATTGTTAAAAAAAACGATTGGAGCCCCCGAGAAGGTTTTACATTGTTAAAAAAAAAACCGATTGGAGTCTCCGAGAAGGTTTCACATTGTTAAAAGAAAACGATCGAAGCCCCCGAGAAGGTTTCACATTGTTAAAAGAAAACGATTGGGACTCCTGAGAAGGTTTTACATTGTTAAAAAAAACGATGGGAGCCCTCGAGAAGGTTTTACATTGTTAAAAAAAACCGAGTGGAGTCCCCGAGAAGGTTTCACATTGTTAAAAGAAAACGATTGAGACTCCTGAGAAGGTTTCACATTGTTAAAAACTTAGAGAAAGATTGGGACTCCTGAGAAGGTTTTACATTGTTAAAAAAAAACGATCGAAGCCTCCGAGAAGGTTTCACATTGTTAAAAAAAAACGATTGGGACTCCTGAGAAGGTTTCACATTGTTAAAAACTTAGAAAACGATTGGGACTCCTGAGAAGGTTTTACATTGTTAAAAAAAAACGATGGGAGCCCTCGAGAAGGTTTTACATTGTTAAAAAAAACCGAGTGGAGTCCCCGAGAAGGTTTCACATTGTTAAAACAAAACGATTGAGACTCCTGAGAAGGTTTCACATTGTTAAAAACTTAGAGAAAGATTGGGACTCCTGAGAAGGTTTTACATTGTTAAAAAAACGATTGGAGCCCCCGAGAAGGTTTTACATTGTTAAAAAAAAACCGATTGGAGTCTCCGAGAAGGTTTCACATTGTAAAAAGAAAACGATTGGGACCCCTGAGAAGGTTTCATATTGTTAAAAACAAAAAACGATCGAAGCCCCCGAGAAGGTTTCACATTGTTAAAAAAAAAACGATCGAAGCCCCCGAGAAGGTTTCACATTGTTAAAAGAAAACGATTGGGACTCCTGAGAAGGTTTCACATTGTTAAAAACTTAGAAAACGATTGGGACTCCCGAGAAGGTTTTACATTGTTAAAAATAACCGATTGGAGTCCCCGAGAAGGTTTTACATTGTTAAAAAAGCCGATTGGAGTCCCCAAGAAGGTTTCACATTGTTAAAAGAAAACGATTGGAACTCCTGAGAAGGTTTCACATTCTTGAAAACTTAGAAAACGACTGGGACTCCTGAGAAGGTTTTACATTGTTAAAAAAAAAACGATTGGAACTCCTGAGAAGGTTTCACATTGTTAAAAACTTAGAAAACGACTGGGACTCCTGAGAAGGTTTTACATTGTTAAAAAAAAACAAATGGAGCCCCCGAGAAGGTTTCTGTCAGAGATTTTTTTCCAAATTTCTTCAAAAATCAGAGACACAAGTTCCACAAGATCCTTTCAAATTACTTCAAAAACAAAATAAAGGAGATCCCCGTGATTCTTTCACATTACTTTAAAAACCAGACACAAGATGTCCCCGAGATTTTTTTCACACTACTTTAAAAAGTAGACACAAGGAATTTCGAGATTTCTTCAAGCTACTTCAAAAACCAGATAGAAGAGGTTCCCAAGATTCTTTCAAACTACTTCAAAAACCAGACAGAAAAAAGGTCCTCGATTTTTTTCAACCTACTTCAAAGGGCACACAAGGGATCTCTGAGATTCATTCGAACTACTTCAAAAACCAGACCACATTGTTAAAAACTTAGAAAACGACTGGGACTCCTGAGAAGGTTTTACATTGTTAAAAAAAACCGATTGGAGTCCCCGAGAAGGTTTCACATTGTTAAAAGAAAACGATTGGAACTCCTGAGAAGGTGTCACATTCTTGAAAACTTAGAAAACGACTGGGACTCCTGAGAAGGTTTTACATTGTAAAAAAAAAAACGATTGGAGTCTCCGAGAAGGTTTCAAATTCTTAAAAGTAAAAAAAAAAAAAGATTGGAGCCCCTGAGAAGGTTTCACATTCTTACAAAAAAAGATGATTGGGGCCCCCGAGAAGGTTTCAAATTTTGATTTTTTTTCAAAAATCTGGATGTCTAGGGTAAAAATTGAACACGGATTGATAAATTACATGCAAAGGAGTATCTTATTTTAGAAAATTGAAATAATATTTATATAGGGTGACGCCTGACAATTTTTGCATAGGCAACGTATTATACACCCCAGAGACGACTTCCTCCAATTTATTTTTTTTTAATAAGCAATCATAGTAATCACAGACAAAAAATTACAAAGATGCCAATGCCATATAATGACAAAATTGAAAAAATTAATACATATGTACTCAATTTGTTAATGGATCAGATTATTATCCATTCACGATCTTTATATAGTAAAGCAGGCTTTGATATTTTTTCTTTAAGTTGGATAAACTGATTTGATGATTTAGTTTTTTGTCTGTCAGTAGTCTGATTGACATTTGCTTCGAGCTGGATTGCCACTTTTCTACTTCATTTATTAGACAAGAATTATTAGACGCAATTTTTTAATCAAGCAAACAAATGTTTTAATTTTGTCAGCATAGATAACTTGTCATTGTGACAGATTCACAGATCATTGCGACATTATTTAAAAAGAAAATGCCTAAAATAGTCTTACCGCAATAAAAAATTGCAATAAAAAGATGTTTTTTGCAGTTTGGAAAAGACAGGCCCAATCTTTCTTTCGAAGAAGTAACCATGAGGGTCTCGAACATATTTTCTGTAATGTAAAAATACGCCGTAGAATATTTTTTATTTTTTTTTCTCATTTTTCGATTTTTAAAATTTCTGATTTTTTGAATTTTGAATATTTTGATTTATCGTTTTTTTTTTAAGTTTAAATATGTATTTCAGGTTTAAATTTTCCGGTTTTTCGATTTCGGGCTATTTCGATTTCTCCATTTCTCGGATCTTTTGATGTCTCAATTTTTTAATTTCGATTTCTCTGCTTTTCCATTTTTCAATTTTTTATTGCTTCAAGTTTTTAGATTTTTGTTTTGTTATGCTTCGATCTCCAGATTTTAACCTTTTTAACGTGTATTCCAATTTTTCGATTTTGGAATTTTCGATTTCTTACATCTCGATTATTCGTTTTTTTGATTTTAAAATATTTTTACTTTTCGTTCTTTTTTTCGATTTCTGGATTTTTCAAGTTTTCGATTTCTCAATTTTTCAACATTTCAATTTTAAGAATGTCTTATATTTTTCAGTTTTTTGATATTTTCATTTTTCAATTTTTGGACTTTTCAGTTTTGAGATTTTTCAATTTGTCGATTTTTTAGTTTTTCATTTCTCCAGTTTTTCGGTTTTTCAAGTTTTCGAATTTTTAAATTTAAAATTTTTCAATTTTTCGATTTTATTATTTTTAACGTTCCGATTTCCCGATTTTAATTTTTTTTATGCTTTTCAATCTTTGGTTTTTCTAAATATTCATTTTTCCATTTCTCGATTTTTCGACTTTTTAATTTTGTGTTTTTTTTTTAATGTTAAATTTTTCGTTATTGTAATTTTTCTATTTTTTAAATTTTAGATATTTAGATTTTTCGACATCTTGAATTCTCGATCTTTTTTCAGTTTGAATTCCTCGGTTTTTCGATTTTCCAAATTTCGATTTTTCAATCTTTCGACTTTTAAGTTTTGAAAATTTTCGATTTCGCGATTTTTCAGTTTTTGATTTTCCAAATTTTAGATGTTTCAAATTTTAGAGTTTGCAAATTTCACGAGTTTTCAGTTTTTAATTTCGTCAATTTTTCGATTTGCAATTTTTCGTGTGGGTTTTTAATTTTCTTTATTTTATCAATTTTCGGCTTTCAATTTTCCGTTTCTTTAATTTTTCATTTGCAGTTTTTCTAGTTTTCATTTTAATTATGTAACACTCCTAATAATTATAATTTTTAAAGTTGTTCACTTTTTCAGTTTTTCGTTTTTAGAGTTTTTCAATTTTTCGGTGTTTGAATGTCACAGTTTTTGATTTTACAATTTTTGGATTTTCCAATTTTTCAATTCGAATGGTTTTTCTTCTTTCCCATTCTTCGATCCATTATTTTTTTTAGATTTTTAAGTTTCTCGGTTTTTAGTTTTTCATTGTTTCAATTTTTCACTTTTTCGAGTTTTTAACTTTTCGAATAAACAAAATGGAAAAATTATAAAATAGAAAAATTGTAAAACTGAAAAAGTACAAAATGAAAGCTTCGAAAAATAAAAAAATTGGAAATCAAGAACTTAAAAAATCAAAGATTGAAAATGTAAAAATTGAATAAACAAAAAATTATAAAATCCAAAGAAACATTTAAAAAATAAAGGTAATGGAAAAATGAAAAATTGTGATATAAAATCAAGAAACTGAAAATTACAAAATATAGAAATTAAAAAATTCCCAAAATTGCGATGTTTAAAATTGAGATAGCGAAGACTTAAAAATCGAGAAAACGAAAAATTTTTAAAATTGGAAAATTGAGATATGAGAAATCGAAAATTCCAAAAATGGAAAAATTGAAACAAATTAAAAAATTAAAATCGGGAAATCGAAACATAAAGATTATAAAAGGGAAAAATGAAAAATTTAAAATATATACTTGAAAAAATCGAAAATTTTGAAAATCGAAAAACCAAGAAATCGAAATCGAAAACTTGAGACTTCAAAAGATCGAGAAATCGAAATAGGCCGAAATCGGAAAATTCAAAATTGAAATATTTACTTAAAAAAAAGATAAACGGAAAAATCGAAAAACTCAAAAAAATCGATAAACAGAAAATTCCAAAAATCGAAAAATTGAAATACAGATTAAAAAATTTAAAAAATCGAAGTCAAAAAATCGTAAAAACAAATTCCATTCGATTTTCCGTTTTATCGATTTTGCAATTTTTTGTTTTTTCAATTTTTTCCAATTTTTTAATTTTCCGATTTTGCAATTTTTCGAATTTTCTACTTTCCGAATAAACAAAATGGAAAAGTTATAAAATAGAAAAATTGTAAAATTGAAAACTCAAAATGAAAAAACGCAAAAGTATAAAATGAAAGCTTCGAGAAATCTAAAACTTGAGAAATTGAAGAAACGGAAAATTCAAAAATCGAAAGATTAAAAATTGAGAAACTTAAAGATCGAAAAATTGCGGTCGAAAACACGAAAATTATTGTAAAATCTAAATATTGAAAATTAAAAAATCGGGAAAATGGTATTAAAAAAATGAAGAACTTGAAAGAACATCATTACGCCGCATTTGTTCATTGCGCTACACATAACCTCAATTTAGTCCTTAATGATTCTGTTAAGAATGTACCAGGAATTTCCGCATTTTATGATTTAATAAATGCTATATACGTCTATTTCAGTGAGAGTTTACCGAGATGGCAACAACTTAACATTGAGATGAAAGAAAATAATAAGTGTGTTATTAAAAAAAACTTTAAAAAAGTTTAAAAATAAAAATTAATTAAAGCTGTTAATCAAACGTAAAATGGGTTGCCTATGCAGAAATTTTTCAGGCGTGAACAGAAAAACCGAACACCTGGTATAGAGATAAGCCCCACCCACCCACCCGTTTCAAATTGTGATTAATTTTTTTTATTCGTCGTTAGTCAATGGGGCGGAGCTTAATTGCAAAATTCTTATTTCTTTACAAGAAACCACCCCCTGATTAAGCTCAACCCCCCATCTGAACCTAATTCACCTGCAAACTCTCGTACTGATTATCCTCAATCTTCTGCCTCATCGTGCTAAAATCCATCGGCTGCGTAATAATCGACGAGTACCCCGGCGCGATGCTGTCCGTCACCGGCCAGGCGAAAAACTGCTGCGGATCCTTCTTCTCCAGCAGCCCCAACAGCTGATCCAGCATCTTCTGAAGCGCCGTCCGCTCCTGCCGCTGCCGCAGCACGCAGCTCCGCGGCTCCCTGTGCTGGCTGGGGCTACCTACTGGAAAACTTTGGTTCTCATCTAAAAGCGCAAACTAAAAAGACACCCACAACGACACGAAATACAAACCCTCGAACTCCAACCCCTCGCGCTTCCGCTTCTTCTCCTTGTGGTGGTGGCGGTGCTTGCGGTCGCGGTCCTTGCTCTTGTCCTTCTTCTTTTTCTTCTTCTTGCTCTTCTTGTGGTGGCTGCGCGAGATGGACATGTAGGGGTCGGTCTGGTCCACGGCCGCCTCCTCGCCCCCCTGCACGCTGTACGACGAGTTCAGGTTGTACCCGAAGTCGGTGGTGTGCTCGGGGGTGGCCTGACTCCCCACCTTGAGGATGAGCTTGAGTCCCGGGGGCTTGTCTGCGGGGCTGCCGAGGCGGTCCTTCTTGTCCGATTTGTGCTTTTTGTGCTTCTTGGAGCTAGAAGAGAACATGGGGGACGCCATGGCGAGACAACACGGAGCGAGAGTCGAAGGTCTTAGAAAGAGCACGAAAGTGAGGTTAGGAGCGAGACGGGTTTGTTTACGGTCGGTAAAGGTTTGAGGCTCGACTAGAAATAATCAATAATTGAGGAATTGTCATTGGTACTCAACTTTTGCCGTATTTAAAAAGGTTGTAGAAGAAAAGTGGAGGATTTAAGTTGATTACTACAAAAATTTACCATTTTAGACATGTTTTACGTTTTTTGTTATTAAAATAAGTCTACACATGTTAAGAAAACGAGGCAAAATATAGGCCCCGCCCACCCACCCTATCGCGTTTGTGATGATTTTTTTATTCGTCGTGAGTCAAGAGGGCGGAGCTTAACTGCAAAATTCTTATTTTTCCACGATAAATTAAAACTATGTTTTTGAGTATCGTGTTATTTTGTGTTTCCGTTTCTCAATTTTCGATTTTTCAACTTCTCGACATTTCGATGTCTCTGTTTTCAAGTTGAAGAGTCGAAAAATCTTAAAATTGAAATGTTGAAAAGTTGAGAAATCAAAAACTTGTAAAATGAAGAATTCTAAAAACATCAAAGAATTGTAAAATAGAAAAGTCAAAAAATCAAAAATTTAAAACTTCAAAAAATTTAAAAAAGCAGAAATATCGGACAATTGAAAAATCGAAAAACTCAATCAAGAAATTAAGAAATTTCAAAACAGAAATGAAAAATTGGGAAATCGAAATAGCGATTTTTCAATTTATCGGATTTTCAATTCTTCAGTATCTCGATTTTTCAATTCATCGATATTTCTATTTGAGTTTCGAATTTTTCTGCTTCTTGGTTTTTGATTTTTCAGAGTTTTTGATTTTTCAAATTCTTAATTTATCGAGATTTCGGTTATTTTGATTTTTCAATTGACCAATTTCTCAATTTATCGATTTTTTTCTTTTAAATTTCTGAATTTTTCTTCTGTTATTCAAAAGAAAACATATGTATATTAGGAATAAATTAAAGCCAAAGATTAAGCCCCACCCATACCTGCCCTGATCTCAATAGTAATGAAGTTTTCATTCGTTGGTAGACCTAGGGGCGGGGCTTAATTGCAAAATCCATATTTCCTTACAAAACTTACATTTTGCATCTTGCCCCATTTTAACCATGTTTAAAGTTTCTTGTTGTGAAAAGATGGCTACGTATATTAAGAAAAAAAGGCAAAATATAAGCCCCGCCCACCCACCCTATCTCAATTCTGATGATTTTTGTGTTCATCTTAAGCCAAGAGGCGGAGCTTAACTGCAAAATCCTTATTTCTCTATGAGAAATTAAAAACATGTTTTTGAGTATCGTGTTATCCAAAGAAAACATATGTATATAAGGAATAAATTAAAGTCAAAGATTAAGCCCCACCCATACCTGGCCTGATCTAAATTACTATTTAACTTCATTACTATGAAGTTTTCATTCGTTGGCAAACCTAGGGGCGGAGCCTAATTGCAAAATCCATATTTCCTTACGAAACTTTGCCATTTTGAACGTGTTTTAAGTTTCTAAGTATAAAAAAATCATCACAATTGAGATGGGGTGGGTGGGCGGGGTTTATATTTTGCCTTTTCTTCTTAATATACATAGTATTCTTCGAAAACCCGATACTCAAAAACATGTTTTTAATTTCTTTAAAGGAATAAGTATTTTGCAGTTAAGCTCCGTCCTCTTGGTTCACGGCGAATAAAAAAAATCATCACAATTGAGATAGGGTGGGTGGGCGGGCTGCCATTTTGCCTTTTTGTTTTTAAATGTGTAGACTTCTTTTTACAACATGATACTTAAAACATGTTTAAAATGGAAAATTTGTATAAGGAAATATCAATATTGCAACTAGGCACCGTCCCATAATTGCAAAATTCATGTTTCTTTGCAAAAATGTACAATTTTAACCATGTTTTAAGCTTTTTGTTGCAAAAAGATGACTATACACTTTAAGAAAACGAGGCAAAATATAAGCCCCGCCCACCCACCCTATCGCTTTTGTGATGATTTTTTTATTCGTCGTGAGCCAAGAGGGCGGAGCTTAACTGCAAAATTTTTGTGCCACGAGAAACTAAAAACACGTTTTTGAGTATCGTGTTATTTCGTGTTTCGATTTCTCAATTTTCGATTTTTCAACTTCTCGACATTTCGATTTCTCGATGTTTCAGTTTTTCAATTGAAGAATTCATAAACTGAAAAATCCCAAAACTGAGAAATCGAAAACTCGAAAAACTGAGAATTCTAGAAATTGAAAAACTGAAAAATCGAAAAACTGAAAAATCAAAAATTTGAAACAAATGGAAATATCGGAGAGCTTAAAAATCGAAGGATGGAAAAATTGAAAAATCCAAAATCTAAAATTTAAAGCAACGGAAAATTGAAGAATCGAAAAACTCAATCAAGAAATTAAAAAATTTCAAAACAGAAATGAAAAATTGATAAATCGAAATAGCGACTTTTTTATCAATTTTTTGATATTTCAGAATTTTTGATTTTTCAAATTCTTTATTTATCGAGATTTCGGTTATTTAAATTTTTCAATTGTCCAATTTCTCAATTTATCGATTTTTTCATTTTTAGTTTCTCATTTTTTTCTGTTATACAAAAGAATACTAAGTAAATTAAGAAAAAAAAATTATCAAAGATTAAGCCCCACCCAGTCCTGATCTAAATAGTAACGAAATTTTCATCTTTGCCATTGTAAACGTGTTTTAAGTTTCTAAAAATAAAAAATCATGAGACGGGGTGGGTGGGCGGGGTTTTATATTTTGCCTTTTTTTATTAATATATTTAGTAGTCTTTGACAGCCCCATACACAAAGACATGTTTTTAATTTCTTGTAAAGAAATAAGTATTTTGCAGTTAAGCTCCGCCCCCCTGGTTCACGGCGAGTAAAAAAATCATCACAATTGAGATAGGGCGGGTGGGCGGGCTTACATTTTGTCTTTTCGTTTTAGTATGTGTAGACTTCTTTTCACAACATGAAACTTAAAATTTAACCATGTTTTAAGTTTCTTGTTGCGAAAAGATGGCTAGGTATATTAAAAAAAGGCAAAATATAAACCCCGCCCACCCGCCCTATCTCAATTCTGATGATTTTTTTATTCGTCGTAAGCCGAGGGGCGGAGCTTAATTGCAAAATCCTTATTTCATTAGAATAACTAAAAAAGATGTTTTTGAGTATCGTGTTATTCACAGAATACTAAGTATGTCAAGAAAAAAGCAAGCCAAAAATTAAGCTCCACCCATATCCATCCCAGGCTCAATTATGACGAATTTTTCAACCGTTGTCAAACCGCGGGGCAGAGTTTAATTGCAAAAAATCGATATTTCCCTTTAGAAATTTGAACATGTTTTAAGTTTTTTGTTGTGAAAAGATGACTAAACAATTTAAGAAAACAAGGAAAAATATAAGCCCCGCCCACCCACCCATTCTCAATTGTGACGATTTTTTTTTTTTCGTCGCAAGCCAAGGAGGCGGAGCTTATCTGCAAAATCCTCATTTCTCTACAAGTAATAAAAACATGTTTTTGAGTATCGTGTTGTTCAAGGGATATTATGTATATTAAGGAAAAAATGAAGCCAAAGATTAGGCCCCACCCATACCCGCCCCTGTCTCAATTCTCAATTGTGATAAATTTTTCATTGGTTGTAAGATCAAGGGGCGGGGCTTAATTGCAAAATCCATTTTTCTTTACAAGAAATTGTCATTGTAAACATGTTTTAAGTTTCTTGTTCTGAAAAGACGACTACGTAACCAAGAAAAAAATCAAAATGTAACTCCGCCCACCTGTCCTATCTCAATTCTAATGATTTTTTTTACTCGTCGTAAGCCGAGGGGTGGATTGCAAAATCCACATTTCCTAACAAAAATTTCCGATTTAAACGTGTTTTAAGTTTCTAAGAATAAAAAAATCATCATAATTGAGATCGGGTGGGTGGGCGGGGTTTATATTTTGGCTTTTTTTTCTTGATATACACAATATTCTTTAACCCAATATCCAAAAACATGTTTTTAATTTCTTCTAAAGAAATAAGTATTTTGCAGTTAAGCTCCACCCTCTTGGTTCACGGCGAATAAAAAAAAATCATCACAATTGAGACAGTGCGGGTGGGCGGGCTGACATTTTGCCTTTTTGTTTTAATATGTGTAGACTTCTTTTCATAATAAGAAACTTAAAACATATATGGATAAAGTCTGTTAGGCAATAAATTTATTATTTATTTATATTTAAAATGGCAAATTTGTATAAGGAAATATCGATTTTGAAATTATGAGGTGGAGCCTAATTAGAAAATCGATATTTCCCTATACAAATTTACCATTTCAAACATGTTTTAAGCTTTTTGTTGTGAAAAGACGACTATACATTTTAAGAAAACAAGGTAAAATATAAGCCCCGCCCACCCACCCAATCTCAATTGTGACGATTTTTTTATTCGTCGTGAGTCAAGGGGGCGGAGCTTACCTGCAAAATCTGTATTTCTCTACGAGAAATTAAAAACATGTTTCTGAGTATCGTGTTGTTCAAAGAATATTTGGTATATTTAGAACAAATTAAAGCCCACCCCTACCTGCCTTGATCTAAATAGTAACGAAGTTTTCATTCGTTGCAAAACCTAGAGGCGGAGCCTAATTCCAAAATCCATCTTTCCTTAAAAAAAATTATCATTTTCAATGTGTTTTAAGTTTCTAAGAAAAAAAAAATCATCACAATTGGGATGGGGTGGCTGGGCGGGGTTAATATTTTGGCTTTTTTCCTTAATATACATGGTATTCTTTAAAAAATCCGATACTTAAAATCATTTTCGTAATTTCTTGTAAAGAAATCAGTATTTTGCAGTTAGGCTCCGCCCTCTTGGTTCACGGCGAATAAAAAAAATCATCACAAACGCGATAGGGTGGGTGGGCGGGGCTTATATTTTGCCTTTTTGTTTTAATATGTGTAGACTTCTTTTCACAACAAGAAACTTAAAACATATTTAAAATGGCAAATTTGTATACGGAAATATCGATTTTGCAATTGAATTGCTAACTGCAGAAAGGGGACATGTCCCATTTTTTACCACAATAACATTCGTACATAATCGTGTTCTAGAGGTCTAAACACATCTTTACTGCAAAAACGGGCCATGTTTAATGATTTAGCTCGGGGCTACAAGCGGATGAAATTTACGGTTACAGCAGAAAAGGGATATGTCCAGGAGATATCGACTTTCTGCAGTAAACACCGTGGTCTCAACGTCTTGCGTTATTCTTATCCAACACGACACTCAAAAACATGTCTTACATGGTAATTTCTTGTAGATAAGTAAGAATTTTGCAATTAAGCTACGCCCTCTTGGCTCACGACGAATAAAAAAATCATCACAATTGAGATAGGGTGGGTGGGCGGGGCTTATATTTTGCCCTTTTTTCTTAATCTCCGCAGTCATCTTTTCACAACAAAAATTTAAAACATGTTTAAAATGGTAAATTTTTGTAGGGAAATATAGAGTTTTCAGTGACGCTTCACTCCTCGGCCTGGAAACGAATGAAAAATTCATCATTAAACTAAGCCCCACCCACACCTGCCGCGAACTCAATAGTGGAGAAATTTTCATTCGTTGCCAGACTGGGGGGCGGAGCATAATTGCAAAATTTGTAGTTCCCTACAAAAATTTACCATTTTAAACATGTTTTAAATTTTTGTTGTGAGAAGATGACTACGTGTATTAAGTGCAAAATTAGTATAATAACTAGCCATCAGCCAGAAGAAAATGACGGATATAACAAACACTATCCCAGACGCTTATAACGCATTTTGGCAGGAGATTGCTACTTGGCCAACTGTAGAACAGGAGCGCGATAATGATTGAGTTTTTTAGTCAGATATACATATAACATGTTTGTGTAAAATTATAACTGAAATAAAGCTGTTTTCTTGTGTTTTTTTACCTTTTTTTTCATTTTACTGCAAAAAGGGGATATGTCCAAGTGTCAAATTTGACAGCCAAATTGACCCAAAAAAGAAAACATGCATTTAACCAACACTCGTTGATAACTGAGAACATAGAGAACCGACAATTGAAAACGGGGATCGGAAACAAGTAGTTGTAAAAATCTGAGACGTTTTATTCATTTCCTCAACATTTTGAAAAATGTGATATATCCCCTTTCTGCAGTTAGCAATTCAATTATGGGGCGGAGCCTAATTACAAAATCGATATTTCCCTATACAAATTTACCATTTTAAACATGTTTTAAGTTTCTTGTTGTGAAAAGATAGCTAGGTATGTTAAGAAAAAAAAAGGCAAAATATAAGCCCCGCCCACCCGCCCTGTCTCTATTGTAATGAGTTTTTTATTCGTTGTGAGTCAAGGGGGCGGAGCTTTAACTGCAAAATCCTTATTTCTCTAAAGAAATAAAAAAATGTGTTCGAGTATCGTGTTGTTCAAAGAATACTCAATATTAAGAGAAAAACAAGCCAAAAATTGAGCTCCACCCATACCCATCCCAAGCTCAATTGTGACGAATTTTTCATACGTTGTCAGACCTAGGGGCGGAGTTTAATTGCAAAATCGATATTTCCCTATACAAATTTACCATTTTAAACATGTTCCAAGTTTTTTGTTGTGAAAATATGACTATACATTTTAAGAAAACAAAGTAAAATATAAACCCCGCCCACCCACCCAATCTCTATTGTGACGATTTTTTTATTCGTCGTGAGTCAAGGGGGCGGAGCTTATCTGCAAAATCTTTATTTCTTTACGAGAAATTAAAAACATGTTTTTGAGTATTGTGTTGTTCAAAGAATATTAGGTATATTTAGAACAAATTAAAGCCCACCCCTACCTGCCCTGATCTAAATAGTAATAAAGCTTTCATTCGTTAGAAAACCTAGGGGCGGAGCCTAACTGCAAAATCCCTCTTTCTTTACAAAAATTTACCATTTTCAACGTGTTGCTACGAAAAAAAATCATCACAATTGGGATGGAGTGGGTGGGCGGGGTTAATATTTTAGCTTTTTTTCTTGATATACATGGTATTCTTTAAAAAACCCGATCTCAAAATTATTTTTTTTTGTAAAGAAATCAGTATTTTGCAGTTAAGCTCCGCCCTCTTGGTTTACGGCGAATAAAAAAAATCATCACAATTGAGATTGGGTGGGTGGGCGGGGTTTATATTTTGTTTTTTTTTTTTTCTTGAAATACATAATATTCTTTGAACCCGATATTCAAAAACATGTTTTTAATTTCTTGTAAAGAAATAAGTATTTTGCAGTTAAGCACCGCCCCCTTGGTTCACGGCGAATAAAAAAAATCATTACAATTGACATAGGGCGGGTGGGCGGGCTGACATTTTGCCTTTTTGTTTTAATAGATGCGTAGACTTCTTTTTATAACAAGAAACTTAAAACATATATGGATAAAGCTTGTTGGGCAATAAATTTATTATTTATTTATATTTAAAATGGCAAATTTGTATAAGGAAATATCTATTGTGAAATTACAAAATCGATATTTCCCTATACAAATTTACCATTTTAAACATGTTTTAAGTTTTTTGTTGTGAAAAGATGACTATATATTTTAAGAAAACAAGGTAAAATATAAACCCCACCCACCCACCCAATCGCGTTTGTGATGATTTTTTTTATTCGTCGTGAGCCAAGGGGGCGGAGCTTAACTGCAAAATCTTTATTTCTCTGCGATCAAAATGTAGCCCCGCCCACCCGCCCTATCTCAATTCCAATGATTTTTTTTATTCGTCGTAAGCCGAGGGGCAGAGCCTAATTGCAAATTCCACATTTCCTAACAAAAATTTCCGATTAAACGTGTTTTAAGTTCCTAAGAATAAAAAAATTGTCACAATTGAGAACGGGTGGGTGGGCGGGGTTTATATTTTGGCTCTATTTCTTGATATACATAATATTCTTTGAACCCGATATCCAAAAACATGTTTTTAATTTCTTGTAAAGAAATAAGTATTTTGCAGTTAAGCTCCGCCCCCTTGGTTCACGGCGAATAAAAAAAATCATCACAATTGACATAGGGCGGGTGGGCGGGCTGACATTTTGCCTTTTCGTTTTAATATGTCTAGACTTCTTTTCGTAACAAGAAACTTAAAACATATATGGAGAGTCTGTTGAGCAATAAATGTGTTATTTATTTATTTATTATTTATTTATATGTAAAATGGCAAATTTGTATAAGGAAATATCGATTTTGAAATTATGGGGCGGAGTCTAATTACAAAATCGATATTTCCCTATACAAATTTACCATTTTAAACATGTTTTAAGTTTCTTGTTGTGAAAAGATGACTATATATTTTAAGAAAAGAAGGTAAAATATAAACCCCGCCCACTCGCCCAATCTCAATTGTGACGATTTTTTTATTCGTCATGAGCCAAGGAGGCGGAGCTTAACTGCAAAATCTTTATTTCCTTACGAGCAAAATGTAGCCCCACCCACCCTCCCTATCTCAATTGCAATGATTTTTTTATTAGTCGTAAGCCGAGGGGCGGAGCCTAATTGCAAAATCCATATTTCCTTACACAAATTTCCGATTTGAACGTGTTTTAAGTTTCTAGGAATATAAAAATCATCACAATTGAGATTGGGTGGGTGGGCGGGGTTTATATTTTGGCTTTTTTTCTTGATATACATAAGATTGTTTGACCCGATATCCAGAAACATGTTTTTAATTTCTTGTACAGAAATAAGTATTTTGCAGTTAAGCTCCGCCCCCTTGGTTCACGGCGAATAAAAAAAATCATCACAAACGCGATAGGGTGGGTGGGCGGGCCTACATTTTGCCTTTTTCTTTTAATATGTGTAGACTTCTTTTCACAAGAAACTTAAAACATATTTAAAATGGTAAATTTGTACTTAGGATCTAATTTCATATTAATTATAATCATCAATAAGGAAATATCGATTTTGAAATTATGGGGCGGAGCCTAATTAAATAATTAAATGCAAAATCCTTATTTCTCTATAATAAATAAAAAACATGTGTTTGAGTATCATGACGTGTCAAGCAGAAAAACTTCACCATGAACGAAGGCGGATTTACACCCACGAGTTTTGAGCGGTCGGTTTACATCGTTTACACTCGCCCAATTTTTGACAAGTGTCACGTGGCAATGAAAGTCCGGTTCGTTTTAAATAATTTATTACATCAACTTTTTTTTGCGTTTTTGTTATTTGACTGACTTCTGCCTTTGTTGCATCTACAGTACCGTTTACTGTCCTATCGCAGAGACACAACCCTGCTCTGTATTAAACATAGAATAGAGTGAATACAATTTTCGTCTTAACCTTATTTTGTACAGTTTAAAACTAATTATTTACAAATTTCATTCGCAATACACTCACTAGAACCTCGAACATATACGTTTTTCGTTAATGTACAGTACATAATATAAAATAAAAGTAATACATCAAGGCTAGAGATCTAAGAACAGGGCCAGACCCTTGCTGTGGGTGGTTGGAGACTGCGCGTTCCGATTGGCGTGTGTGCGACCTTTTCAGACCTAAAACACCTCCGAAAATGCCGCCCACAAAAAATTGAGTAAAACCGCAATAAAATGACTAGATCCTAGGGCTAAAAACAATCCAAGTCTCGACGGCAAAAATCAATATGGAATGTGAGAAACTCGTTTGACAACGAACGCGGGCGCTCCCACCACCCAAACAAAATTAAAAAATCACCGTAAATAATATAGAAATCACATATTAGTAGAACATCCACGCCAACACTCATACGCTCTATCATACAAGAGGGGCCGTTTCATCCCTTCAAGGCCACTAGCTGGGTCTGCTCACAACCACCACCGGCTTCACCACGTACTGGGCGTTCACCAGCGGAACCACCTTGCCGTTTATTTGCTGCTGAGTAATAAAATGAGTCGATACCAGGGGCGTCAGTTCGGTTAACCCTTTCGGGACGATCAACTTCTGCAAAACCAACCCCTGGGGGACCGAGTAGCCCACGGGCAGCACCGAGAGCGCGGTCGTCTGAACTGGCTGAGTCACCTTCAAAAAACACATTTCAGTTGGCGGAAAACAAAATCCCCCAGACGTAACGTCAAACTCACCTCCTTGATCGTCCCCACTTGCGTCGTCGCGATGGAGATCTGCGTCTTGTTCGGCAGCAGCGGGATCTGGATCCTGTCCCCGTTCTGGCCGCTCACCGCCTCCACCTTGATCTCGTCGCTCGTGATCGTCTGCGAGGCGGTCGTCACCGGCACCACCTCGGGCAGGATTTTCGAAAAGTCCACGTTGTCGTAGTGGGCTTGGATGTCTTTCTTTAGTACGGCGAGCTTCTGCTGGGCGGCGATTTTGTCCCTCGCCAGTCGCTCCATCTCGTGCTCCAGCTCCCGCTCCTTCCGCTTCAGCGACTGGATGCACCTCAAGGCCGAATGGAGGATGCTCAAGTTGGACGTCTTCTTCTCGTCCTGGGTCTGCCATTTTGCCATTTTGTTTTTAAATGTGTAGATTTCTTTTTACAACATGAAACTTACATGTTTAAAATGGAAAATTTGTATAAGGAAATATCAATATTGCAACTAGGCACCGCCCCATAATTGCAAAATCCATGTTTCCTTGCAAAAATGTACCATTTTAACCATATTTTAAGCTTTTTGTTGTGAAAAAATGACTATACATTTTAAGAAAACGAGGCAAAATATAAGCCCCGCCCACCCACCCTATCGCGTTTGTGATGATTTTTTTATTCGTCGTGAGCCAAGAGGGCGGAGCTTAACTGCAAAATTTTTGCGCCACGAGAAATTAAAAACACGTTTTTGAGTATCGTGTTATTTCGTGTTTCGATTTCTCAATTTTCGATTTTTCAACTTCTCGACATTCCGATTTCTCGATGTTTCAATTTTTCAATTGAAGAATTCATAAACTGAAAAATCCCAAAACTGAGAAATCCAAAACTCGAAAAACTGAGAATTCTAAAAATTGAAAAACTGAAAAATCAAAAACTTGGAAAATTGAGAATTCTAAAAATCGAAGTCAAAAAATTTTTAAAAATCAAAAAAATTGAAAAAATCGGAAATATCGGAGAGCTTAAAAATCCAAGGATGGGAAAATTGAAAAATCCAAAAATCTAAAATTTGAATCCACGGAAAATTGAAGAATCGAAAAACTCAATCAAGAAATTAAAAAATTTCAAAACAGATATGAAAATTGAGAAACATCGAGAAATCGAAAGAGCAATTTTTCAATTTATCGGTTCTTCCATTCTTCAGTTCATCGAGATTTCTATTTGATTTTCGAATTTTTCTACTTCTTGGTTGTAGATTTTTCAATTTTTTGGTTTTTCAGAATTTTTGATTTTTCAAATTCTTAATTTATCGAGATTTCGGTAATTTTAATATGTGCAGACTTCTTTTCACAACAAGAAACTTAAAACATATTTAAAATGGCAAATTTGTATAAGGAAATATCGATTTTGCAATTATGGGGCGGAGCCTAATTACAAAATCAATATTTCCCTATACAAATTTACCATTTTAAACATGTTTTAAGTTTCTTGTTGTGAAAAGATTGCTAGGTATATTAAGAAAGAAAAGGCAAAATATAAGGCCCGCCCACCCGCCCTGTCTCTATTGTAATGATTTTTTTATTCGTTGTGAGTCAAGGGGGCGGAGCTTTAACTGCAAAATCCTTATTTCTCTAAAGAAATAAAAAAATGTGTTCGAGTATCGTGTTGTTCAAAGAATACTAAATATTAAGAGAAAAACAAGCCAAAAATTGAGCTCCACCCATACCCATCCCAAGCTCAATTGTGACGAATTTTTCATACGTTGTCAGACCTAGGGGCGGAGTTTAATTGCAAAATCGATATTTCCCTGTACAAATTTACCATTTTAAACACGTTCCAAGTTTTTTGTTGTGAAAATATGACTATACATTTTAAGAAAACAAAGCAAAATATAAACCCCGCCCACCCACCCAATCTCAATTGTTACGATTTTTTTATTCGTCGTGAGTCAAGGGGGCGGAGCTTATCTGCAAAATCTTTATTTCTTTACGAGAAATTAAAAACATGTTTTTGAGTATTGTGTTGTTCAAAGAATATTAGGTATATTTAGAACAAATTAAAGCCCACCCCTACCTTCCCTGATCTAAATAGTAATGAAGTTTTCATACGTTAGAAAACCTAGGGGCGGAGCCTAACTGCAAAATCCCTCTTTCTTTACAAAAATTTACCATTTTCAACGTGTTGCTAAGAAAAAAAATCATCACAATTGGGATGGGGTGGGTGGGCGGGGTTAATATTTTAGCTTTATTTCTTGATATACATGGTATTCAAAAAAAAACCCGATCTCAAAATCATTTTTTTTTATTTCTTGTAAAGAAATCAGTATTTTGCAGTTAAGCTCCGCCCTCTTGGTTTGCGGCGAATAAAAAAATCATCACAATTGAGATCGGGTGGGTGGGCGGGGTTTATATTTTGTTTTTTTTTTCTTGATATACATAATATTCGTTGAACCTGATACTCAAAAACATGTTTTTAATTTCTTGTAAAGAAGTAAGTGTTTTACAGTTAAGCTCCTCCCCTTTAGTTCACGGCGAATAAAAAAAAATCATCACAAATGAGATAGGGTGGGTGGGCGGGCTGACATTTTGCCTTTTTGTTTTAATACATGTGTAGACTTCTTTTCATAACAAGAAACTTAAAACATATATGGATAAAGCTTGTTGGGCAATAAATTTATTATTTATTTATATTTAAAATGGCAAATTTGTATAAGGAAATATCGATTTTGAAATTATGGGGCGGAGTTTAATTATAAAATCGATATTTCCCTATACAAAGTTACCAGTTTAAACATGTTTTAAGTTTTTTGTTGCGAAAAAATGACTATACATTTTAAGAAGACAAGGAAAAATATAAGCCCCGCCCACCCACCCAATCTCAATTGTGACTATTTTTTTATTCGTCGTGAGCCAAGGGGGCGGAGCTTAACTGCAAAATCTGTATTTCTCTACGAACAAAATGTAGCCCCACCCACCCGCCCTATCTCAATTCTAATGATTTTTTTTTATTCGTCGTAAGCCGAGAGGCGGAGCCTAATTGCAAAATCCATATTTCCTTACACTAATTTCCGATTTAAACGTATTTTAAGTTTCTAAGAATAAAAAAATCATCACAACTGAGATCGGGTGGGTGGGCGGGGTTTCCGTTTATATTTTAGCTTTTTTTCTTGATATACATAATATTCTTTAACCCATGTCCAAAAACATGTTTTTAATTTCTTGTAAAGAAATAAGTATTTTGCAGTTAAGCTCCGCCCTCTTGGTTCACGGCGAATAAAAAAAATCATCACAATTGAGATAGGGCGGGTGGGCGGGCTGACATTTTGCCTTTTTGTTTTAATATGTGTAGACTTCTTTTCACAACAAGAAACTTAAAACATATTTAAAATGGCAAATTTGTAAATGGATCTAATTTCATATCAATTATAATCATCAAAAAGGAAAATTTAATTGAATAATTAAATGCAAAATCCTTATTTCTCTATAAGAAATAAAAAACATGTTTTTGAGTATCGTGACGTGTCAACTAGAAAAATGTCAGGGGATTTTCCTTCAAGTTGGTAACATTGCACACTACCGCAATTTCATTGGTTGAAAAGTTGAAAACCCAACTTCACCATGAACGAAGGCGGATTTACACCCACGAATTTTGAGCGGTCGGTTTGCATCGTTTACACTCGCCCAATTTTTGACAAGTGTCACGTGCCAATGAAAGTCCGGTTCGTTTTAAATAATTTATTACATCAACTTTTTTTTGCGTTTTTGTTATTTGACTGACTTCTGCCTTTGTTGCATCTACAGTACCGTTTACTGTCCTATCGCAGAGACACAACCCTGCTCTGTATTAAACATAGAATAGAGTGAATACAATTTTCGTCTTAACCTTATTTTGTACAGTTTAAAACTAATTATTTACAAATTTCATTCGCAATACACTCACTAGAACCTCGAACATATACGTTTTTCGTTAATGTACAGTACATAATATAAAATAAAAGTAATACATCAAGGCTAGAGATCTAAGAACAGGGCCAGACCCTTGCTGTGGGTGGTCGGAGACTGCGCGTTCCGATTGGCGTGTGTGCGACCTTTTCAGACCTAAAACACCTCCGAAAATGCCGCCCACAAAAAATTGAGTAAAACCGCAATAAAATGACTAGATCCTAGGGCTAAAAACAATCCAAGTCTCGACGGCAAAAATCAATATGGAATGTGAGAAACTCGTTTGACAACGAACGCGGGCGCTCCCACCACCCAAACAAAATTAAAAAATCACCGTAAATAATATAGAAATCACATATTAGTAGAACATCCACGCCAACACTCATACGCTCTATCATACAAGAGGGGCCGTTTCATCCCTTCAAGGCCACTAGCTGGGTCTGCTCACAACCACCACCGGCTTCACCACGTACTGGGCGTTCACCAGCGGAACCACCTTGCCGTTTATTTGCTGCTGAGTAATAAAATGAGTCGATACCAGGGGCGTCAGTTCGGTTAACCCTTTCGGGACGATCAACTTCTGCAAAACCAACCCCTGGGGGACCGAGTAGCCCACGGGCAGCACCGAGAGCGCGGTCGTCTGAACTGGCTGAGTCACCTTCAAAAAACACATTTCAGTTGGCGGAAAACAAAATCCCCCAGACGTAACGTCAAACTCACCTCCTTGATCGTCCCCACTTGCGTCGTCGCGATGGAGATCTGCGTCTTGTTCGGCAGCAGCGGGATCTGGATCCTGTCCCCGTTCTGGCCGCTCACCGCCTCCACCTTGATCTCGTCGCTCGTGATCGTCTGCGAGGCGGTCGTCACCGGCACCACCTCGGGCAGGATTTTCGAAAAGTCCACGTTGTCGTAGTGGGCTTGGATGTCTTTCTTTAGTACGGCGAGCTTCTGCTGGGCGGCGATTTTGTCCCTCGCCAGTCGCTCCATCTCGTGCTCCAGCTCCCGCTCCTTCCGCTTCAGCGACTGGATGCACCTCAAGGCCGAATGGAGGATGCTCAAGTTGGACGTCTTCTTCTCGTCCTGGGTCTGCCATTTTGCCATTTTGTTTTTAAATGTGTAGATTTCTTTTTACAACATGAAACTTACATGTTTAAAATGGAAAATTTGTATAAGGAAATATCAATATTGCAACTAGGCACCGCCCCATAATTGCAAAATCCATGTTTCCTTGCAAAAATGTACCATTTTAACCATATTTTAAGCTTTTTGTTGTGAAAAAATGACTATACATTTTAAGAAAACGAGGCAAAATATAAGCCCCGCCCACCCACCCTATCGCGTTTGTGATGATTTTTTTATTCGTCGTGAGCCAAGAGGGCGGAGCTTAACTGCAAAATTTTTGCGCCACGAGAAATTAAAAACACGTTTTTGAGTATCGTGTTATTTCGTGTTTCGATTTCTCAATTTTCGATTTTTCAACTTCTCGACATTCCGATTT